GCAAAAGTGATAAAATTACTTTCACTAATAAATATAAGAAACCTTAATCCATGCTTGAAAATTTCAATTTCACCTTAATGTTTGCAATTCCAAATAAAGAATATCGACATCTTCCATGATAACAGAATTATTTAACAATTGTACAGAAAAACAAATCCTTGATCTAGATCTGTGAGTTTCAGCTTCACTTTATTTGCAATTATAACAAAACATAAAAAAGAAAGTCCAATGAAAATAGAAAGAAGCTGAAGTAAAATAGAGAAACAAATTTGAGGCCTGGTGATAATTAGACTCTGACAAAACCTCAGAAGGGACAAAACGCTATAAAATTTTGATTACAAATGAGGACATGTGGTGCACAGTTTGCCATTAGTGAACTGCATTTGGAATTCAGGTCGTTAATTCCCCAGCAATCATATTTGTGAGTAATCGATGAGATTGAAGTTTGGAGAATGGTAAACTTGTCAGAGAATGCATTGCAGGGGTGGTGGGAAGTGGGGAGGACGGGAGATGAAACAAGCAAGTGGATTGATCCAAAAATTAAATATGAATTTTCTGTTGGATCCAACATTGCTCTGCTTTCTAAACAAATTCAAAACATAAAACAAATTATTAATAAAATATTAAAATTTATAAATAAAAAAAGATGATATAAAATTAAAACGTTGTCAAATATTCTAATGAGTTGTTGTATTTTAGGATTATTTTTCAATTTAGCTTCTTTGTGTGTGTGTGTGTGTGTGTGTGTGTGTGTGTGTATTGCAAATTTCCTCTTTCATGAAAGATTATGTTTCAAAAATACAAAACTCAGAAAATCCTCTGAGGAAGATAAATTTAGTCTTAAGCATTCTGTTCACTCGCCTTTTGGATTACGCATTGCAAAGAATTTGATTATCAAAGATGTAAATCATAATGAAAACAATCTGCAAAATGAACAAAGATTTGTAAAGGCAGGTTCCAGAGAGACATTGACTAAGTACAGAAGAAAGTCAAGGAAGTAATCAACACAGTTTAAAAAAGATCTCAAATAAACACACACATATACACAAAAAATTCTTTATCATACTGAATGATAATGAGAATTATATACAGGGTGTATCAAAAATACTTTTACAATCTTTAGAGGCACATGTCCATAAAAACATAAAAATGTCTATGTAAACACATATGTCCAAAAGGCCATCATTGTACCTCAACACAGCAACTTATGACAAATGTTCACTTGCACTTGTAGGATCATTGATCAGAAGATCCTTTTAAATACTTCCACACAGTGTTGAATGGTTTCACAGGCCCCAATGATAAGTTGATGAAGTGTCTCTGCATTATTAATGTCTGCTGCACACACCAATTGCTTTAAGTAGATCCACACATAAAAATCCAAAGGAAACATGCAGGCCATGGAACTGATCCTCCCTTACCTATCCATCTTTCATGGTAGATGTCAGCCAGTGCATCATAAACAATTTGACTAAATACACCATTATGTATGAACCATATTATGTGTCTTTGTATTATCAGAGGTACATCCTCTAACAGTTCTGGAAGTATGTTCAAAATAGAGTCCCTGTAGACAGCTCTTATAAGGCATGCTAGGAGAAAATACCGGACAGTCAACTACAATTCTAGCCCACACATTAATCATAAACTGATGCTGGTATCTAGCCTATATTGTACCATGAGGATTCCGATCCACCTACAAATGTTGGTTGTGTAAATTTGTTATTCCATCTCTTCCAAATATTGCCTCATCTGTAAACAAGACTGAAGAGACAAATAATGGATTGGCAGTTTGTACAATGAACCCTTGGCAAAAGCTCTCCCATAGTGAATGATCAGAGGGTGAAAGACTCTGCACACATTGTAAAAGATAAAGATACAGGAGCTGCACTTGAAGTACCCACCATGCGGTACTATGAGATGTACGACATGTTTGGGCCACTTGACATTTGCTGATGTGTTTTTCATGGTCAGGCGTATAAGCAAATATTCGTCTTCCTTAATCCATAGTTTGTGGTGCTATAGATCCTGTTTCAGCAACATGATAATAAACAGCAGTAAAGGTTAGATGAATCGGTTGCCTTTGGTCTAGAGACACCATCTGATGCAGCCTTGCGTCCATTACCATTTGCACAGCCATATGTAAAAATCATATCTACCTGCTCATGATATGTATATCTTGCCATTGTCAAATGAAATACTTCTCAGTTAACTGACTACTACACACATTAAACATTGAAGACAGACTAGCCACAAATGTACACGAATAACAAATGTAACCTAGTCCCTATGACAACACAGTGCCGTCGACAGTAAAATTTCTTTAAACTTAACTCAAAAAGGACAGATTTGTGGACATGTGTTTATACAGACTTGTCCTTGGTTTGGTGTGAGGAACCCACCTACAAAGTTTGTAAAAGTATTTTTGATACACCATGTATGTATGTGTATATATATATATATATATATATATATATATATATATATATATATATATAAGGAAATTAGTTTCATAGCATTGATTCTTAGACAATATTCAAGTAGTACCAAATAAATCCCCTAAACCTTTTCTTATGACTTTAAATGTGTTAAATTTTTTCAAAGAACTAAAGTTTTAAATTGTAGCAAACTTGTTTCACACAAAGACAAATATAAAAAAACAACACAGAAATATTGATAACATTTTATAGAAAATTGAAGAAATTCTTATAGAACACATATCACTAAAACATTTTTTCAAACCCTTAAAAGGAACTAAAAAATTATAATTGGTTCTCATGATAAATTACCCTATGAAATAAAATAGTGTATGTATATGTATATATCAAAAATTAATTTTGATATTTTCGAAGTACAATGCAAATGCAAGATTACTTGAATATACCATCAGTTTTTGATAGTATGTGTAAACTTGTGTGTAAAAAAAAAATGAAGGAATAAACTATGTTTGACTTCATGAATTTTTCAACAAACTAAGAATTATTTGTACATGAATAAAGAGATAGAAACCAACCTATTGATTTATCTAAAAGATAAATGATTTCAGAAATTCTTTTCAAAAAAAAAAAAAAAGGTGAGGGGGGCATTCAAACTCATATTTGCTGCTTTTAATGGTGGCATTTTGAAAGGTACTTTCTTCAACTTTGCTTTTTGTTGGAAATTCTTAGTTGTTATTTTACATTCATAATTTATTTAACGTGATATTATCATTGCTGGTTTTATCACTTCATTTTAACAAAAAGGATTTTCAGCCTTTTTCATTTGGTAGGTAGTTCTTTTTTTTTTCTTTGAGATATATTTTTATATCTGTGTCAGAGATTTCTGCAGACAATGGTAATCTACTCATCAAGTTCAAAAACAAATCCAATTACATGAACTGAGTAGTTCAACACATATGCTAATTTTATTTTCAGCACACATGCGTAAAATGATGACAATACCATTTTCCAATTATGGAAGGTCCTTGTATCTATTTTTGATCAACTGAACATAGGCATCAATATAAAATTGAATTCTATATTGGGTGTACTTATGCAGCTTTTATTTAACCACCTTGGTGCTAATAGTTATGAAATAAGATTTTGGAAGTCTATTATTTTTACAAAAAGTTTTAGATATTCAATGCCCATATCCAGTGGATCATGTGATGTGTGTTAATGATATGCATTGAAATACAGGAATATATAAATTGTGAGCACATTCAGATACTTCTGGAAGTTAAGTGTGTGAAACTTTCAGGCAATTGGTGTTTTCAGCTTTAAACTGTTAAAAGATAGTGTAAAATAGTAATTCAAGTGAATGTGAAATATAGTAGTAATAGTCAGTACTAGATTACATCTGTAGACTGAACTAGGAAAAGGTTACAACCAAAATATACTCGATTCCTTGTGTTGAAAATAAAAGGTACTTGACTGCACTGTTGTGTGGAGTAAAATAGAAAGATACAAGCAATTTTAAGCGTCAAACTTAGGGATTCAAGGTGTTAAGTGATAGGTATAAGTGTCAATCTGAAAAGGTGCCATAATCTTTAATAAGCAGTTTGTTCATCTGCGTACAAAGATATTCAATATTTTCACATATTGTTTCAGAATTTCTTAGCTGAGCTGTGATAAAAATCTTTTACAACAAGTTATAAGAATTGATATATAATAAAGAAAAAGAATCTGTGGAGAGCCATGATTGCCTATATCCTCAAGGATGATGATACCAAAAGAATCTGTGAGTAGTTTAGTGTGAGAGGGGTGGGGGTGAGTGGGATTATATTTTTAAGTTCATTTTCTAATACTTGATCCCATTCTCTCTTCCATATTATATATATATATATATATATATATATATATATATATATATATCTCTCTTTTCCAGTTATGGGTAAATAGCAGGACATACTGGGTTCTATAGCCTTGGATGGCAACTAGTCTAGGAAAAGGATAACTGACTTCAAAATCTATGGAAGTTCGTTTGGGCATGTTGTGCACCAGGTTTCTGTATTCAATTCTTTGAAAAGTGTGGTTGGTTCTGCACAAAGCCATTACGACTATAACCAAATCATATGTACAGGTGTCTGGCTGTCAGTTCCTAGGATCTGAATTGCTTAACTCTTATGAATTCGAAAAAACAACAGGAGATTCCAGTATATATATATATATATTTGTGTGTGTACCAAATATACATTTTTATAGGTGCAATATATATTAAATTATGCACACACGCACACACACACTAGGATATGTCTGTACTTTCTTTTATGTTTCATCTATGATCTGAAATAGGTAGCGAACAAATGTATTTAAATAAATTTCTATGCCATTTTATGTCTTTTTTATCTATGTACTGCCATGTTGCAATGTATTTTACACATTTCTCTCAAATCAGAATTTGTTGATATATTCAAGTACTTTCAATAAAAACACACACACATACACATGCACACAAAGAGAAAAAACAACAGGTGAAGTATAAAACTGAAAAGCAATAAAGATGTCAAATGTTCATTTGCATTAATGCAGTTGTAAGAGTGTATTTTGCTTAATGCAAGCCTTATCATTAGAGCAAGAAATAGAGAGAGAAAGGACAAGAGTGTTAGAAATGGGAAGAGAGGAGAATAAGAGGGAGTGACAGAATAGGGATATGGATTCAGAGAGAAAAAAGTAAAAGGTGAAGAGATAATGCAAAAGAAAAGAGAAAAATAAATGAGGATAAGAAATAAAAGAGAAAAAAAGAGGGTGATCAGAAGAGAGAGAGAGAGAGAGAGAGAGAAAATAAAAGATAAAAAGTGAAGAGAATAAGAATTGAGAGGAAAAAAAGAAAAAAATATAAGCAGTAAGAGAAAGAGAAAAAAAAAGAAAGGACAAAAATAAATAGGGAGAAAAAAGAAAAAAGAGTGAGAAACAATAAAAAAAGTAAATAAAAGAGAGAGGATAAGAAAGTAGAGAGATACTAAGTTAGGAAAAATGAAGGTGAGAGAGAGAGATGAAAAAGGGATAAGATAAAAAAAGAGAAAAATTTTACACCAAACTGCTCAGTTCAGAAGAAAACATTTCAAACAAAAAAAAGAAAAGATTAAAATAAAACAGTTAAAAAAACAGAAAATGAGAATCTTACATTGAAGATAAACAGAAAAAAATACACTTTTTTTTTCATTAAAAAGTAATCTGAGAAAAATTAAGTATAAGTTTAAATAGGTAGATTTGATCTTCTACCAACTTTGGAATGCTTGTAGCTCAATCAGAAGAGCAGCTGATATGGTTAACCAGGTTTTCTGAAGTAACAAATTCAAGCATGAGTTTTATTCTTTTTTTTCCAATTCATGTTTTTTGCTGATGGCCATAAATTAACAATCTGAGTAATGCTTTAATGAAAATCAAATAAAATTAAGAAAGAAATACCTGACAATGATTTTTTTAATAGAAATCATAATAATATTACTAAAAATGAACACAGATACTAAAAGAGTGCAGTAGATAAGAAAAAGATGTTAACAACGTCACTCATGTGAATGGAAAATACAAATATGATATGCACATTAATTTGGAAACAACAACAGAATTAAAGGAAAAAAAAGCTAAAAATTATAGAAGAAAAAATAAAATTCAACTGAATGAAGATCATATTGAGAAATATGAAATATTGGAATAATTGAAAATCAACATCAAGATTAAGATTTTTAAAAAAGAAGCATATAAAAGAGTGAAAACTTAAAAAAAAAAAAAAAAAAAGGATATGGTTGGATCTAAAACTAAATGCCAGAAGATATATCAAAAGCCAAGATTATGAATGTTGATTTTAAAGGCTTTCCTCATGGAAAACTGTTGCAACATTTTGTTCCTCCTTTAATTTCTACATATACTATTTTATTTAAGTTGCTTTGTAAATTTCTCAAACTTAAAAAAAGATTTAAAACTTTACAAAGAAAAACTTGAAAAAAAAACATATGGTAAAAGAGATTTTATAAATCAATGACAGGAAAAATGAGTAAAAGATAGAAATATTTGAAAAGGAAAGGGAAATTGTAGCCATGGAAAGAAAAGAAAAAGCAAGAATGTTGTAGGAAGGGGAAAAGTATAGAGAATCTTTTTTTATTATTTTTATTATTATTGCATTTATTTTATTTTTTTGAATGGAAATCTTTCATCTTGTGTCCATGGAGTGCTTCTGAATGTTTATAACGGAATATCAACTTGGATTGAATTTTGCTAACTCGTCCAATTTATGACTTGAAACGCACAAATAATATCCATTTTTATAGTCACAAGCAAAGCAAAAACTTATTTTTCCTGTTTATTTTATTTTTTTTTTTGTTTTTTTACAAGATCATTGGTTTTTTTTTTGTTTTTGCAATTGTTTATGATTGGCATGAAAAAATCATTTTTATGTGATTGTATCCAGCCTCATTTTTGGCTGTTAAGAGAAATATTTTTTTTTTAAGTGTCCTACTTACAGCACTCATCACCATCAGAAAGAATCCATCCACTATTTTTTTTCTTTTCTTAAAAAAAGAGCACCTGGTAATTTTTAAGAAGGAAATTGCATACTCAAGTGTTTCAAGATGATGGACACTTTTAACAAAGGCTCTACTTCAGTTATATAGAATTTGAAATGATCAAATAAATTTGGGAATATATTTCATGGAATTATAAACAAGTATTTATTTGTATTATTATTATTAACACTATTATTATTCTACTATGACTACCATTGCTAGAGATTAAATTTCAATGTTTGAAGATCTGGGCCAATAACACAATGTCCAACTAACCAATATCCAAAATTTGGTTAATATATTTTTTGAATATTTTCAGTTTGCAGATATATAAATTTTGTTATGGATCATGAGAAGTGAGATATTGTAAAGTTATGGAGTCATCAAAACATATTTTTCATGACATACCTCTTGGAAATGTCAGGTTTTATTAACCTGACTTTTCCAAAACAAATTCTCAGTCATTTTGAAATTGCAAATTGAAACACATATGGGATATTGTTCATGTAAATATATACTAAACATTGTACTGATGTTAGCCAATTAATACAACTTTCATTACAAAAACTTTGACTTTCACAATCTGATATCGTGGACAATTCTTGTGGCCATAATGACAATTCTAGATGCTGATCTTGTACTTCAATGTCACATAAGATATCCACGACAATCAATAAGTTGGCATGTCATTATTTTATCCAATCTTAGAATCGAGATTCTTTAGCGACTGTAGAGAACTAATAGCAGAACCCTGTCAGGATTGTTAGGAATCTATTTATAATTGAAATTTGGGAAAATGCTAAAACTCAAATCAAATTTATATCAAGGTGTAATTCTCACAAATACATCAAAATTTGTAAAGTTGGTTTAACTTGGGCTCAGATTTCTGTTGTTCATAAAACTAAAAAAACCTGAATGTAAATTTGTTTGTAACTCAGTTTTTGTGGAGTATAAAAATACATAAATTAAGGTTTATTCTTGTCTCATTTTTTTTGTATCTATAAACTTTTTGATTGAAGTTTTATTTCACATGTTCTTCAATCACAGGTCCAAATCTGACAGGTATGCACAGAGAAGGTTTTAAATCAACAAGAGGTAAAAATGTATTGCCATTTCTATTCTAAGCTCATACAAAATTCTAATGCCTTTGGCAGCAGATGAGTTGCTAGATTGTTAGTGATAAAGAAACTGAAAATTATTCTTAGATGAACAGAAAAAAAAAGCCTCACAAAATGTGAAGAAACTACAGAAAAAAAAAAGAGCACATTTATTTTGGATTAGAATTACCAAAACTAGAGTAAGACAAACACATTTTATATCAGTAAGTCTGGTACAAGGCCATAATAATCCTGCAACTATGAAGAACAAACTCATTTCATCAGAAGCATGTCTATGAGACTAATTAACACTTGCTCAATGGAAGGCTAGTATATTTACTAAGCTTAAGTGAGTTTGCTTTAAGATCAAAATAGCAAGGGTCATAATGAGATACAATTTCATGGCACAATTGCCTGCAAGAAGCTTGCTAGCCATTACTTAACAGTAGCGTTAGCTGTAGATTTTAAAGCTACTCTGTGTGTGTGTGTGTGTGTATATATATATATATATATATATTTGTAAAATACATCCATTGGATGCTTTAGTACACATCATCAGTGATGTTTCTAGGTTCATTAGGGGCAAATATAGTTAGATATACAAGCGACTGATCATATACAAATACATACAAATACTCTATAGTGTAAGAAAAAAACAGTGCTCAATGTTAAGTAACAGAGCTATTTAATATATATATATATATATATTAAGAAATATACATAATACATTAAGTTATTGAGTTTACAATGTATTTTCTCCTTCAAGAATTATGTTCTTTTTTGATTAGGGTGGCATTAGTGAAATCAAAGTTATGTCAAGCATCATTTCAATGCAACACATGAGAGATCATTTGTCAAAACGCAAGTTTCTCTTGTGTTCTTAGATGCAGGCTTTTAGATCACATGATGTGTCCCTCACATAAATATTTTTGCACTGTAAACAATTTATTTGATAAATCCCAACATTTGAATTGGTGTTGGGTTTATTTTTCTTCCTAATTATATCTCCAATTTTCTTGGAGGTGGTGGTTATGATCCTAGGAATGACGAATTTGTTTGTGAGTTTAGTAGAAAAAGTGTTGGAGGATAAGATTATGAAATTTCAATTAAATTTTTAACACCCACACTATATGGCCTACCTAAAACACAAACTCAACATTCCAATCGGACCCATTGTGTCTGCAGTTCACCCTGCAAATTAGCTAGAGTTATTACAAATGTCCTAACTCTGTTCCTAGGAATTATCAACACGTCAAACACTCTGGTGACTTAATCCAGAGAATAAAAAACGTAAATATGGAAAACATGGCGAACCTAAATATCAAATAATTATACAACAACATACCCATCATGAAATACCTCAACATATTGAGAAACCACCTGAAAAAGTTCAAAGAAAAGCTTCCTCTACCTATCCACAAATTACACAATTACAAATACACACTACCATCTGTTGCCCACTTAAACATACAAGAACCTTCACAAACCTACATACATATAGAATTAACTATGATTTTAATACACATGATATGTGTCTGAACAATGAAAACTGACCAAAACGTAGTTGAAAATACCAGTGTTTTCTGTCTTTTTTGTCTTTTTTCTCTCAATCTCTGATGAAGCTTTAATAAAAGTGAAACATGTTACATTGATATACGTTTGCTATTTGTTCTTTTATTTCATCATCCTGTCAGATTCCAATCTACATTTGATCTTTAACTCTCTCTCTCTGTATATATATATATACACATTGGAACCCGGATATAAGAGAGTTGTCGGGACTGGAGAAGAAGTCTCTTATATCCAGGTTTGGTCTATTTTATATACATTAACACAGGCTCTAATTTGGGACCAGAGAAAATCTCTCTTATATCCGGGTTACAATGTATTAGTTGATTCTGATCTGGGCAATACTGCAAATTTATAGTCATTCACTCATATCAAGAATATCTGTTACATGAACTAATACAACTATAAGCTGAATTCCACAGAGTTTTTTATTATTATATATATATATATATATATATATATATATATATATATGTGTGTGTGTGTGTTTGTTGATTTGTTAATTGCATATGACTATTTCTAACAGGTTAACATATAAGAAAACTACTGCCCTGAAAGTTTGACAGTTATACTAATTTATACTAAATTGTACATGTGCAACACAAACATATCTTTATTTGATTAAAATTATATGCAAAAAGGAAATTACTGTGCACCTATTTAAATATTATGCTACAAAATTAAAAATATGAATTATGTTAGAGCAGTGTTTTTCAACCAGTGTATGTGTGGGTGCACTAATAAGCCCAGAAAAGTAGACATGTGCACTCACTCCAAGTTAACAGAAGAGTAATTTGTGAATTATTTTTATATTTAAATAAATCTCTATTTTTAAAAGGCTATATACACCAAGCAATGTAATGTCTTAAAAATAAATGCTTATTTCAGGAGACTTCTTTATTATTTTCCCATTTTCAAATTTCAAGACTAATTTTTCATTATTAAAATTTAAAGAGTGTCCCCAGAGTTTTAGATATTTTTTAGATATTTATTTTAGATATTAGGTTGAGAAACACTGTGTTAGAGAATAAACATTTGAATAAAATAAATAAAATCAGTAACTTAAATAAAAATGACCTATAAATTGGGTGAGCTAAAAATGACTTAACTCCTGCAAGAGATTTACACTCACAAACACACATTTAAATAATCTATTCCACTCACTCAACATTTAATTTGTTATATTTATCTTAGTTAATAGATGTCTGTTTATCTTTTGGTCTGGTTTGTTTATATTTAAGCCTGTTTATATTTATCATGCTCAGTGAACAAATGCTCATCAAGATTTAAGGAGATTTTCAGCCCAGAAATCCCCCCTGACCCCCACATACAGAAAAAATAATATT